TGTTTGCTCCATTCCTAAAATAATAGTCTATAGAGTTCTCAATAGGAAATCCTCACACCACTCTGGTAGCTCTTTTCTTTAGTCTTGAGTCCTCTATTTCAGTGGTTCTTAAAGTGTGCATGCTTAGTTCACTGAGGAAGCTGGCAGAAATGCTAATGCAGAGACTTAACCAGCATTTACCATACCTGATCAAATTTTGGGTTTAATGTTTTGGATTTTACCAAGTCCTTCCAATTATTCTGATGAATACAAAACATTTAAGATCAGTTCCCCACAGCTTCAGTGAATACCTTTTCATTCTACACTGACTCCTTATATCCTTCCCCTACCTGGGTTTTAAATAATACACAGATGCTCACTGTCCCTTGTGCTGAGCTTCAGATCACCTATTAAATTCCCCACACAATACCCCTCCCAATACCTCAACTAAGTAAGTATGCCCCGCAAAATTCAGTTCATTACTTATCCTAGCAAATGGTAGACATGTCCATCCAAAAGGTATATAAGCAAGTCATTTTTAACACTTCCTATTACCCATACCTATCCAATTCACCAGTTGACTATGACTGTTTTAACCATCTTAACTTCTACAATCTCAACCATTTTCAATTTAGCAATCTGTATATGAAAATATCAGAGTATGTTACTGTTCCAATTTTAATCCTTCAATATCTTCAAAGTACATTTTAGAAAAACTAAACACCTCAATATAAACAGGAAGACATACAAAGCCCTGGACCCTGATCACCTTTTCATTGTCATCTCAAATCCCTTTTACATGTAATTCACTCATGTGGTCCATGATTCTGAGCATATTTCACTTAGTGAAACTCTTCTTCATGTGGGACTTCTGTCCTCATGACCTGCTCCAAAGCATTCTGCCTTCAAATCTCAGCTTTCACCTAACTTTTCCCGTCCTTCAGGTGTCTGCCAAAATTTCAAAAGGCTTTTCTTGGTCCTCTATTTCAAACTCTGTTATTCTCTCACAAAATCTTGAGCTAAGTAACGATGTTAAGTAATTATTCTTGTCTGTTTAATATTTGCTCTCTCTCCTTAAGGCCAAAGAAATGCTACACTATACAAGTAGCACCAAGTGCTACCTGAAACATAAAGAGATATTTAATAAATATCAATTGGTGATACTTTTGTTACACTCCTTTTTTTCTTTCTCTGAGAAACATTAACTTAGAAGTTCTTCAATAGCCATAGATTATTTCTGCAAATGAAAAATCATACTTAAATCGAACATTTCCCGACTGATTTCCATTGCAAAATCATATGTTACGTATCTTATGTTCCTGAAAAATTAACAATGAGAAATGGTTTATATGCAGTCTATATGGATTCAATTTAAACAACTAACTCTGAAAGAACTACAGCTACTTTTACAGAACTCTAGTAAATTCCTGCCTCAAATTACTAACAGGCCAATAACCCACATTTCATCAGTTAAATTTTACCCATCTCTTCATATTCATAATCCAATTCCTATCCAGCCTTTCGGTCTCATGATTAGATTATTTCAACACATTAGCACAGGTCTCCCAGTCTGACATTCCTTTTATTTAAGTACATTTTCTGCCATGAACATTTAGGGGGGAAAAAGTCCCCCACTCAACAATCACTTTGGACTACCAATTTCTATTAAATTCCTCAAACTAGCAACCATGGCTTTGTTTTGAAAACATGTATGACACTACCCTATGTTTTAATAAAACATGAAGGTTACATTGAGTTACATATGCTTGACAGTGTAACATAGTTTCAAGCTAAAACTGACATAATTCTATCTTTCTGAAGCCCAAAACTGGGGGTTGTAGAGACTCCTAAAACTGAACCATTTTTGAGAAAATACAAATGCCATTTTTGAGAAAATACAAGTGCCTATGATATCAGTCCTCTAAACTCTGAGCAGAAACTAAAAAAATACCAGGTGCCAACATTGTCAAACATACAGTGTAAGCGCTTGACTAGAAAGATAGTATAATACAAAATATTTGTTTCAGAGAAATACCCCCCAGGAATTCAGTCATCTAAATAGACCCCTGAAATGTTTTCTCAATTACAGATTTTAAATAGTACATATTTACACCTATATACATATGATGATAGGTGATCTTTATTTGGGGATACCATATTTGTCAATTCACCTATTTCCTAAAGTTTAAGCCCTCAAATTTGTGGCAGTTTCCTGATTATTTTTATAGACATGTATACATACACTGGTTTAAAAAAAAAATCTTAAGTCACTTGACTCATACCCTGTTATCACACTCTAGAAAAGTGGCCTTTTCATGCTCAATTTGGTGCATTGGCCATGTTTCTCTCACTTTTTTGCTTCTAATTGGTGATTTCACTGTTTAAAATGGACCTTGGCAATAATGCATAAGTTCTGCCTAGTATTTCTAAGTAAAGAAGCATGTGACATTCCTTAGCAAGAAAATATATGTACTTGATAATCTTCACTTAGCATGAGTTACAGTGACACTAGTCATGATTTCAATTAAAATATATTAAATAAAATACAGTAAGTACAATATCTTTAAACACAAACACACATAAAACAATGCTGAATACTGAGTTGACAAAAATGTTGTAAACAAAGTCTTCCAGGAACCTAATTCTGTTACTCCCCCTAGAAGCAATGATTTAGTATTTGCTAATTCAGTCAGTGTTCACAGTAACTACTGGGACATAAGAGACAAAGAAAGAGACAAAGACAGACATGGACTGTTTTACTGAAAAGACAGTGAAGAGGTCACGCTAAATAAGTTTCCTATGTTTATAGCAACATAACAATAACTGCTCAAGACATGGCATCTAGAAGATCCTGGTGTGGCTTAAACATTGATCCAAAACAAAACTGTAAAATTTACCATTTGTTTTTTGGTCTATGGTAGCTTCTAATTATTTTTTTCTTCACTCAGTAGTATAGCTTTCTCTGATTAAAATGGTTCTTATGCTTTTTTACAAGAACTCACTCCAATAATAGACAAACATGTGCTTAAACATCTTGTTTAACTTACAACATTACTTATTTGGAAAGGAAGGAAGACAGTCAGCATCTGAAATAAGAATAAAAAAATCATCAAGATAAAAAAAAAGCGAATTGAGCTGGGCACTAATGGTTCATACCTGTAATCCTAGCTACTCAAGAGGCTGAAATCTAAGGATCTCAAAAGCCACCCCAGGGCAGGAAAGCCTAATTTCCAAAGAACTACCAAAAAGCTGGTAATGGAGCTGTGGCTCAAAGTGATAGAGCACTATCCTTGAGCAAAAAAGCTGGGGGGGGGGGCGGTGGGGTTAGGGTTAGGGGGATTGGAGTGTGGGAGCTGGGGAAGTGGGACAGTGGGACAACAACAAGGAAGGAAAGGGGTAACAATGATCAACAAGTAATGTTCTCATTGCCTTACTCATGTAACTGTAACCCCTCTGTACAACATCTTAACAATCAAATAAAAAAAAAAGCTCAGGCAGCTGGATACTGGTGGCTGGCTCAGGCTCACAATCATAACTACTCAGGAGACTGAGATCTGGAGATGGCATTTCCAAGCCAGTCCCAGCAGAAATGTCCATGAGACTATTATCTCCCAATTAACCACCAGAAAACCAGAAGTGGCCCTGTGGCTCAAAGTGACTGGCCTTGAGTTAAAGAGTTCAGGGACAGTATCCTGGACCTGAGTTTAGCCCCCCACCCCCACCCCAAAAAAAAGAAAGAAAAAAGAAAGAAACAACACTCAGGCAAAGACAGCACCCAGGCCTTGAGTTCAAGACTCAGGACTGACACAAATAGACAGAAAGATACACAGACAGACAGATTTAAATGTCAGTTGTATGTATTAGAGAGAAAATCAACACACAAGTGTAGGTAGGCCTTGTCCTCTAGAAAGGAATAAAGCCTGGTCCCAAGAGCTGGAATGTAAGATCAGGAAGCTCCATCTTCCAAGAGTTTCTTCAACCTTTGTTTCCTCCTAGCACTTGACTCATTTTTCAAAACAAGTGACAAACTTCTGGTAAAAGCCAATGGGAAATTCAAACAGTAACATCAGTACTTAAAGAGGTATTTGTTTTTATGCTTGAATGAAGGCTGTCACTTTGAAATTCAATTTTATTTTCATACTTCAAAATTATTTTTCATGAGTAAAATATGCTTTTTATAAGTAAGATATGCTTTGGGCCCTGATAAAAGTTACAAATTCAAAATCTATAAACTAGATTTAATTTACAATAACAAAATAACTCGCTCAAGGTACATTTCAATTAAATACTAACACAACTCAAAGGCAGAGGTATAATCTGTGAGTTAATATCCATGTGTGCTTGAAGTCTACAACCCAATCTAACCCAACACCTGAAATAATAAATCGCCTGTAATAAATTCATCAGCACAGTAAATCTATCAAAACTAATCACCATAATTCAGTCTTTTGAAAATTAAGGTACTTCCCTCCACATCTCCAACACACAGCAAGGTTCATTAAGCTGGAAAGTAGTTTACAAAAACAAGGACATCGACCCCCAGATAATTCAAGATTTCTTTCTCTTTATTTCATACAGAAAATTCAGGGTTTCCTTGCATTAATTTACTATTGTTACTGTCATTCCGAAAAGCACAAGTGGAAACTCAGTCTTCTGCTTTCAAACCATATCACTAACTTTCCTAACTTGGCAAACCAAAAACTTCACTCTTGGATTTCTTTTCTAGTAATGTTAGAACTTAGGATTACCATTTACCCAAAAAAAAAAAATCATGAATTCTTAGTTTGTAATAAATAATACGGATGTCATCATATCAGTTGCAAGTAAAAAAAAAAAGGTATTTTTCCACCAGCCAGTTTTACCAAGAATATAAAAACTGAAAGTCTAGAGATCTGGTTCTGTCAAATGCTGAGTAAACTTTTTTTTTGTCTGGTTACTAGACGTCTTCCTACCTGTTTCGGACAATGAGAGATCCAACACGAGTGGAGCCTAGAGAGGCACGTTAACCAGCTTCACCTCACCTTTTAAAAGTACGGTCGGGGGGACAAGAACAGTATCTGGTCCCGCGGGTGAGACTCGGGAGTAATCGCGCTCCTCCCAAGTCCACACCGGTTGAATTCGGGGCGCCAGGCTCAACACACAGACACACACGCTGTGTTGGTGTGCGTCCGGGTGTGTATGTATGCCCATGCTAATAAACTAGAGTGAGAGCGCGCGATCATAAACCTATCATCTACGGGGTGAGTTCCCTCGGCCGAAGCAAACCCCGGCTCCCCGCCGAGGGCGGTGGGATCCGGCGCCCGGCGTCGCCCGACACCCGCCTGAGCCGCGGCTGGCACCGCGGAGCCTCCATCCGGCTCCGGCTCTGACCCTCTCCTGAGTCACCGCTCCGAACGTGACACCACGCATCGGCTCGCCCCGAGGACGTCTTGGGGTTTATTTGATCGAAGCTCCCGGGGAGAGCGGACGGCCCTGGGGAAGAGTGGGGTCGACTCCGAGGAACGACCCCGGGGAAACGCCACGGCCACACCCCAGCGCCCTCCCTCACCTGCCAGCCCCGGCCTCCCGGGCCGCCCCGTACCTTCGGCCAGCGACTCCTCCAGGGTGACCTGGTAGCGGCCGACGGCGA